ACCTGGCATTAAGCAGCAGCACCGACAGGCCTGGGGGGCAGTTGACAAGACTACCTGGAACCCTCAGGCTGGGGGAACAACCAGAAAGAGGAACAGGTGTTAACCATCTGTCCCTCCTTCTTCTATGCAGACACGTTAGACCCCACAACGCCATAACATCCATTGCCCATGACCACCCCAAAGGCGGTGCGCATGCGTTCCCCAGGCAACCCCATATTCATAGCCAAAAATGACTCCATTAAAAAATAAACTAAAAACAAATTAAAACACCTAAAAACACTTAAAAACACCCCCAACACATCCCAATCCAATTAACAATCCCACCCGCCGGCCGACAACAAAGCCCCTGGCCAGCCCAGCCCCCACACGGCCCCCAAACGGTGGTGACCACCCTTTGGCCATCACCCTTCGGCCGCTGGCCCCAGCCGCGTCCGGTGAGATAAGCCGGCGGACTGTCCCCGTGCCCTGCCCCCAATCCAGCATGGCTCTCACCCAGCGCTGGCGGGGCGGAGAAGCAGGGGCGGCTGCACGGCACTCGCTGGCCGGCAAGATGGCGGCGTCCTCCCCGGCAGCAGCATCGTCGACCGGCCTGGCGTCCTCCGGCCCCAGTGGGTCCAGCGATGGCCGCGGGCCGTGGCGTCAGCTGTCCCCCGGGGTCCGGTGGAGCACCCCACAATGTTAATTCATCTGATAACAACTTCTGGAGATGGAGTTGGCTCTTAACTGGGAAGACTCCACAGGCAAAGGGGGTTAAATTCTCTCTGCAGTGCCATGATCCTGTTCTGAATCTATACACTTATAGCTATTTTATGATCAATTTTAAAGAGGCAAGAAATGGATCATAGATTCTTTTACCATGCAAGCTGCAAGAGGTTTGTAAAAATCACAAAACAGGAGACCAAAAACTGACTCAAAAATTCACCTGGCTCAGCCCTTTGCTCTAAGACGAGATGCAGTGTGTTCATATTGAGTGCACACCCGCCATCCCCTGGAAATAATACATGGGAAAGGTGTGAAGCCAGAGCATAAACACCTACTCTTCGCCCACACCCAAGTGTAATTGGCTGAGGGAAAAGGGTGTAGGGGAAATGCACGCTCACGTACTGAGCAAGCACACGCCCAACATCCAAACAGGGGTCAGCAAAACGACTATACACACCCTGCAAGGACAAGCCCAAAAAGAAAAAAAGAAAACTGCTTATGAAGGGGACTGTGGCAAAGGGAAAACAAGTCTCCGCCCAGAATAATGACCAAGGAAACAGGTGTGGGAAATAAATTTAGGCACACGCAAAAGTCATAGGAGTGGCAACTCCCTGTGAAGCCGTTATTCCTTGGCCTCACAGCGCAGCACTGTGCAGGCTGCTGGATACCGCCACCCACCCACATGCAATATCTGTGCCAAGCGTACTGCTGAGCGAATGCATATTAGGTTCTTTCCATACAGCAGTCTCCCCCAACCTGGTGCCCTCCAGATGTGTCAGACTGCAGTTCTCCACATGCTTCAGCCAGCATGTTGTCCAGCATTTCCAAAGGGTACCAGGTTAGGAAAAGCTGCCCTGGAGCTAGTATGGCATAGTGGTGAGAAACTGAGCTCTAAACAAGGATGTCCCTGTTACAGATATCAGCTCTGCTGTGACCTCAGGCTACCCAGCCACTTCCAGACCCTAACCATAATCTACATTGCTCTCCACAGTATGAGAAGGTTTGCTTACAGGATTGTTGTGCAAGCATTACTAAGATCATGCAAAGTATTTTGGACATCCTAACAGAGACCTGTGATGGAATATTCCAGTGTTTTTAAACTGTCTAAAAGTCACAGTAATGGGTGGGAACTGAAAGAGGTGCTGGGGAGAGAGTTTACCCCACTAATTTAAAATATGGAGATGATACTGTGCTATTGATAGAAAGCAGTGATGACATGAAACAACTGATGAAAATGAAAGAAGAAAGTACAAAAGCAGGACTTCAGGTGAATATTAAGAAAACAAAAATCATGTTCATAGAAGAATTACAGAACTCCACTGTTAGTAATGAAGAAATTGAAATTGTGAATGATTTCACATACCTCAGTTAAGTCATCAGTTCAAAGGGAGACTGCAGCCATTGAAGAAGACTGAGACTTGGAAGGGTAGCAATGAAGGAAAGATCATCAAGTGTAAGGACATTTCACTAGAAGACAAGATCCAGACCATCCAGATCATTGTATTCCCAATCACAATGTAAGGGCGTGAAAGCCGGATAGTGAAATAAACTCACAGTAAGAAAATGGATGCATTTGAAGCATGGTGCTGGAGGAGAGCTTTGTGGGTTCTAAATCAAATCCAGTCAGAGCTTTCCTTAGAAATAAAAATGACAAAACCGTCTGTCATATTCCAGGGACATCATGAGAAGGCAAGACTCCCTGGAGAAGACAATCACATTAGGGAGAGTCAAAGGCAGAACATGAACTGGAATACCAAATGTGAGATGAATTGAATCCATAAAGGAAGCCATGGCCTTGAACTCAGGAGAGCTGAACAGTGCTATCAGGGCCTTCATTAATAGCATCGCCTTAAGTTGGAGTTGACTTGATGGCACATAACAAATCTAACTAGGAGGGCATGATAGTTCTTTGCCATGTGCTCCATGATGGGCTTTCCAGAAATACCTGGTAGGCCAGTGGAGGAAACAGGATACTTGGACAAGCTTGAGCTTCAGTCGGACCAGCAAGGCTCTTCTGATGTTCTTACGCTAAGGCATGGGTCCTCAAATTACGGCCCGCGGGGCAGATCTGGCTGCCATGGCCCTCCGTCTGGCCCACGCCGCCGTTCGCTGCCTGTGCTTGCTGTGTGGGAGGGGAGGTGGTGGCTCGCTAGCTCGGAGATGCTCTCTGAGCAAGCCGCCACTGCCGCCTGCCTCCCGTACACGCGTGCTTGCCGCTGCCTCGCAGCATGGGCAGGGAGGTGGTGGCTTGCTCGCTCGGAGATGGTTTTGGACTCGCTGGGAGATCTCTGAGTGAGCGAGCCACCGCCGCGCATGCCCAATGCCGCCTCGCGCGCGCCCGATGGCACCTCACTGGCCGCATCCCCAGGCACCCCCACCTCACCGGCCCACAGTGGTCACCACAGCCTTCCAACTGGCCCCCTATTCAAAAAGTTTGAAGACGCCTGTGCTAAGAGGGTGCTTCCAGCTGAGGTTTTTGTGGTATAATCACTCAGTCTTATTCAAGCAACTTTAAAGTGGCCCCAGGTTTCATCATTTTCCATTTGTACTCCTCCTATATTTTCCCATAGTGCATTCATCTTTTTCCTTACCACAAAAAAATGTGTTTTGTAGGGAAGGACAGAACAGCCATGAACAATGATCTGGTTTCCATGTAAGCACAGCCACACATGAACTGGGGAAAGTGAGTGCCCTGCCTGCAACATGGCTGCTTCTATTTCTTTTATTCTGCAACCCTCAACCGGCTCCTACTGAGCATGATACCTGAATCCAGACCACTGGGCTGTTTGGTGGCTAATGCATGGTTTGCTGTTGGCGTAACTGTTGGGCTGCTTTGCCCCAAATCAGCCCAGTGGCCTCAGTTCGGAGGTCATGCTCAGGAAGTACTGATTGTGAGTCTCTGAACTGATTGCAAGTTGGTGAGCAAAAGCAGAACAGGCAGCCCCTCTGTTTTTGAATGCCCTTAAAATTTAAAAGGCATTTAAAGGTGGTGCTAGGAACCCTCTGTCTGGAAGCCTTCCTAGCTCTAATTCTTTTACTGATGGACTGATTTTTTTTTACTCTTTAGTTATACCTCTCTAATACTAC